AGAAAGGCGGTCACATGTCACTCTACAATACGGGGAAATACCCATGTGCACAACGAATAAATGTTAACTGCGGGATTAAGCCATGTCTCGATGACCGCATCAGGACTCTCTTGTTTTATAAGTGGAGTTAGTGCCTCATAGTTTTTGAATGATCGATCTCACATTAGCCACCACACAAGAAATACTGAAGCGGAATTCCTTAGATCCTTTACATGTTTCCCTCATCAACAACAGAAGCGAAGAACCAGGTACGGGACGAGAAGGAACAGCTACATGCTTATCATTCGGATGATTATCAACGGCTTGCAACCGTAATTTGGAATCCTGGCTAACAGACAGAGGACTTTGATTGGAACCCTTCTGAGCCCGAATCCATTCTTGTACTGCTGAAGACAGTGAAGCTCCGATGAAAATGCCTTTCTCAGGATAGAACCTCTACTGTAATTGCTTAAACATTCTGTGAGTATACTTCTAGTTCCCAAAAGTCACCTAGTGAAACCAAAGTTTTTCAAGCTCTCCGTCAGATGGAGAAACTGAGTAGAATATGTCGAGGCTTCTTACACATGGCTAATCGGAAATACTGTTACTCAGACTTCTACAGTTACTTGTGTACAGATGTACAGAGATGTACAGGTCATCCGTATAAAACCGCTGCACATAAAGTGAAGGCAGTGTGGAGCAAACGCTTGTAAGACTCAGTTGTAATTATCCATGATAACGCTGGTATCATCGATGATTCAAACGATAGTACACAAACCAACGGGGGTGAGTCTCATTCGAACTCCGAAGATGCCCTCGATAGCCATTGACGAAGGATCGTCTGAGAGGTATGTTGGATTGGTCGACGACAAACACTGTTGGTTCTCCTCCACTTCGAATCAATACATGAATTCAGAAATCCTTCGAACAAGGATGAGTCGAAGGAAGTCATCAAGCAGTATGAAGAATGTCCGAAACGAGCGTATGCAGGAAGTGACAACGGTTGCTGCGATAATGAAAAGTTCCTGATTGGAGTGGCTATACTTTTGATGGTATTCGCCTTGCTGACTCTCGTCAACTACTATCACATGGCCCTCGTTCCATTACTCTTGTCCATAGCCACATCCATCGTGATTATAGTTGGAGTTTGCACGAAAAACTCAGTATGCATGCTTATCTCTATGATTCTTTTGATAATTTTGGCTGTTATTGAAATAGTGAAGCTACTCTTCGAGCTATACCATTTCATAAATGGTGAGAGCGAAGTGACTGCGAGAGCAATTATTGGCTTCATTTTTGGTATTCTGTTTTGCGTAACCATTGTTTTCGCTATCATCTCTACCTGTGCACTTCGCAGAGAGTACTAGACCATGCAGTTGTGGCTACATATTAGTTGTCGACAATTACAAAGGCAATGAATAAACGTTGTCGATGTTGTGTGTTGTTTTCTACGTTTGGTCACACATCGGTCTTATACTTGGATTCATCCAATGCGGTTGGGCAGACGATATTGTTTGAATCGGGTCGGATTCCTTTTAGCAGACGATTCATCTACAAAAAATACCAGGAATCATTGAACTTTTACAATCTGCTTTAATCAAGAACACTATAGTCTTTCCGATGTGAACCTATTTGCTTTATACAATGGCATGCGG